TGACTCTCTAAACAATCCCCAAGCTTTTCAATATCTTTTCATATAGAAGTTTTCCAGGTCTCTAATAATTTTAATTCCTCCTCTTTGAACCCCTTTCTATTTCTGTTATATCCTTTTGAGATAAGAGTGAGGCTTGAATGGCATTGTTAGGTCAACAATTTGGCACCCCCTTCCTTTATTTTTTTTTGAGGCTTCTATCTTGTTCTCCAAAATTTCAGTTTTCATTAAATGAAATATCTGTAGCCATTATGGTTCTGAGAAAACAAACAGTATTTTCAACGTTAACGGACACAGTGATGGCAGCCTGAATTTGTAGAGAGCCTGAAATACTAACTCTAAGGTGCTAACTCAGGTGCCTAATGATAATTTAAATGTCAACACTTATCTATTTCACTGCTCATCAAAGGAGATAAGAAAGGAGAGGGACTTTCTTATTATGATGAAATGTGCAATACATTCATTTTAATACTACAATTGAGTGGCACTTGAGATACACTTACTTTGTTTGCAGTTTGACCTATGGAGCCAAAATGCCAGAGGGGAACAGTGGAACCTATGGGACATTTGAGTCCCACCAGAGCAGAAGGGGCTTGGCCAGTTCTGGTGACTGGTGTGGGATCATCTCATCCTGCTTCTAGAGGATGCAGTGAGACACTATGTGCAGACCCAGGTAGACATCATTACATTGGTCACACTTAGGTCATGTTTTCAAGTTTTCTTACAACCATAACCAAAAAAAACCCCCACTTAGATTCTGATGTCATGTCACATGACTCTGGGGGCCATGTGCTTTATTCCACCTCTGCCCCTGGATGCATCCAAACCCAGTGAGAGGGAGCCAAGCCTCAACATCCAAGCAGAGCATGCTCATGATCACACTTTGAGCAACTGGACAATCTACTGTGAGTGACATTCATTTTAGCTTGTCTTGTAGGTGGAGCCGGGCTTGTGGGCAAAAAACCAACCAGACAACACACTACTTTTTTCATTTCCAATTTGGGTCTGGATAAGAGTGATCAGAACTGCCCACAATATTCCAAGCAAGAGTATGCTATTTATCTACATAATTGCATTATAATATTTTAGTATTAATTTCCCTCCTGTTCCTTTTGCATCCTAGCAGTTTCTTTGTTTTTTTGTCCACCTCCGCATGCTGATAACCTATCATCTTCATCAACTGTGACATTAGCAACTCTATTTAAAAAATTAAACTCTGAGTGAACTGTCTTCTGCCGAGTTCTTTTCTGAAGGCAACTAACACCAAACAATTATGTGCAATATTAAAATGCAGGAACGTTTGATACATTTTATTTCCAAATATATTTGTAGACACTTTCCAGCAATGTATGTTAAGAACAAGGTGCAGTAGAAATAAGAATAATAAAAAAACCTGTACAATTAGAATATGCACATTTTACCTGTACACTCATATAAGCTCTGAATTCTGGTTCTAGTTTTCTATAGCTTGCATCTGCTTGGAACTGCTAGCTGGTTAAATATCTTTACAGAGTATATCTTGAATTTGATCTATGTAGAGCCGTCCTTCAGAGAATGTATCATCTTTAAGATGTCAACTACCTCACAGAAGTGAATTATGAACTTGTTTATTAAGTAACTTTTGACATTCAACTGACTGACTGACCAAATGATTCTTTATGAAAGGCACATTGTTTTAGACACATTTTTGAAAATCGTATGATATGCAGTGGTATGGATTGCCCTGCAGCAGAATGGGTGACATCGATTATGGATCATGTCTGGGTTAATCTTGGAATTCAGATGTGTCTGACCTCAAAGCTCCATCCTACACTAAATGTTAATGCATAAAAATCAAATTGTTAATCTTCTACAGGATGCAACGAGCACTTTAAGATGGAATGTAAAAGCCAGACATCTGATTTCCATATTTTGGAATATTGCAATTTGAAATGAATCATGACCAGGAAGTTAAGAGAGAACAGAAAATAACTGTCTAGCAGGATTTTTTTGGCTCGTTATTAAAACATGAGGAGTTGTTTTATATCTCTAAGGTTGAGTTCATTGACATCCTAATCTACTGGATGCAAGCTTTTATCTACACTAGTTTCAACATTACTTTTACATAATCTTGCCCACATAAAACTATTTCTATTTTTAACAGTAACTCTCAGTTTTAGTGTTTGTTAAATTTCTCTCTCTCCAATTAAAATCTGGAAGAAACAACTTCATCTCATTTTAGATAAATTATTCACTTTTTTCAGCAGATAACTTCAATCAATCTAGACTGGTTCAACTAGCTCATTTATTGAGACTCTAGGATAAGCCTCCAAAGTATTTTAACTTTGCCTGATTGTAACTCAAGGGATTCAATTTCTCACCATCTGTCTCAGTCACAGCTTCAGGCACTTTCAGATGTGAGTGCCACAAAACACCAGTAGAAGGTTGGGGGTTTGTGTGTGGAGTGGTTACTGGGATAAGAAAAGGAAACTTCTGGGAACATATTTTCCTAAATGACCTACCAGATTACCACATATTTAGCTTTGTTTCCCGTTTGTTGATACAAAATAGGAAAATAAAGAATTCTTCTAGTGGGATAATATATGTAATACATTGCATGTATGTAGCTAAAAAAACAAGAAGAAGCACTTTTTCAATTTTACACTTAGATGGCATATCAGACAAAAACATTCTATGCAAGTCTGACATTTTAATTACTTTCAACTGTATTTAAAAAGTATAATTATCCCCCAAAATGGCAAATGAATCTGTACTACAATAGCCTGTAATGATATAACATGTAGTAAAAAAATCTCCATATGCTTGCACCATTCAACATGAAATGTTTTAAATCACAATGCAATAAAGCCATAATTGTATCTAATACCTGAAATTCTTTACTATATTTTCATAGAGGATTTAGTAGGCAAATTACCATATTAACACTATGTAAAAAGTTTGTGTGACCGAAGCACTACAATTCTTTACACTTCTTAGTCCGTCTTCCACTCAGAGGATGCACTTTCCTGGCTAGTCAAGTCCACGGTGCTGATGGAGACTTCTCTACAAGAGTTGCCTCTATCCTGCCTCCCCACAGGCAATGGCACCAGCACCCACAAATCCCCTGGAACGATTTGGTAGTGGGAACTTTTGAATAACAAGAACTGAAGGTAGAGAATAAGAGGGGACTCTTAGTCATTGAAGACATGGGAGAAGGAGGGTTTTTGTTGTCACCAGAGGGTAGAGGAGGAAAGCAGGGAGTCACCAGGGAGGAAATACTATCAAGAGAGGAAGAGAACGAGTGAGTGAAGACTTCTAGCCACTGGTGGGAGATAGAAGAGTGTTCGACAGAATATGGGTCCCCAGCATTAGCAGAAAGAGGGGAAAGGAAGGAGCATTCCAGGTGCAAAGAGGTCTCTAAAGGGAACAGAGAGACTGAAGGCCTTTCCAAGGAATGAATGGAGTTTATGTTTGGGGAAAAGAGGCAAAGCCTGGGAGATATTAAAGGGAAAAGAGGGAGAGAGGAGGGAAGACAAGAAAGAACAGACAGGGATGAAAGGAAGAGGGAAGGAGAGCAGACAAAGGAGGGCAGAAGGTGGGTATGATACTTTCTCAGGGTACCGGAACTGTAAGTTATCTTGTTACCCCTCTGCCTCAGCAAGAGAGAGATTTGCTGATACTAGACTGTGTGACAGCTCCTGATACTCCAGTGCATTAGCCAGTCCAACAAACTCTTCAGGACTCTGCCAGCCCCTATTTCACCTTGCAGGTAACACTTGGAGCACTTCAGTTAATGACTCCCCTTGTAGAACATTGCCCTGCAGAATCCAGCCCCTGTCACTGGACACTCTCAGAAATTACCAACTCCACTGTCTCCAAAGAGACAAGA